AAAATTTAGAACAGAGATCTACCAACTTGTGTTCAGACAGGGGCAGACCTGTCCTTAAGTCTCACCACCTCAGCAGAGAGAGAACAGGGATTACAGAATATATATGCCCCATAAGGATAGTTAAATTTGTTAGGTTTTGGCATACTTAATTGTCTAGTTTCTGTGGTTGGAATGTGTCCTCCCCAAGAAAGCATGTATTGAAAACTTAATCCACAAAGCAACAGTGTTGGGAGGTAGGGTAGGGCCTGATGAGAGGTAATTAGACCACGAGGAGAGAGTGAATGGATTAATGCTGATATAGTGGGAGTAGGTTTCTTGTCCTGGGAGTGAGTTTGTTATAAGAGGGGGAGTTCAGCTCCCTTTTACACTCTTTCAGTCAGACACACACACACACACACACACACACACACACACACACAGCCTCACCCTCTCTTGCCTTTCTCCTTTCCACTATGGGATGATGCAGCAAGAAGACTCTCATTAGATTCTGGTCCCTCCATCTTGGCCTTTGAAATCTCCAGAACTGTGAGAAATCAATTTCTATTCTTTATAAATTATCCAGTTTCATGTATTCTCTTATAGCAGCACAAATGGACCAAGATACTGGTGGAAAGATTGTTCTAGGACTTTTGTTTCAAATATTCTCTGAATTCAAAGTGTAGCTTTGCCATATATAAATTATGTGGACTTTGACTAGTGGTTTAGATTCCTGGTGTCTCATTGTTCTCATAAAGCGGGAACAATGCCTCTTTTGAAAGGCTGTTGTGAGGATAGTGTAAGTGCCAAACAGAGCACCTGATTTATTCTTGATGCTCAATGAATGCTAATTCCTTCTATTTTGTTTTTCCCAGATCTTGCCTAGGAGACAGGGGGTAAGTCTCTGGGATTGATCCCAGGCATATTAAACCATGACAGTCACTGGCCCAAGGACTGCCCTGTGCAATAATTCCAAATCCAATCCACACATCCTGTAAAAGATGGGGAAACTGTGTTTGGTAGTTCTCAAAAATTGAAGAACATTACACATGTGGTTACTTGTTTATACTATTGTACCATTTTTATTTCTACATTTCAAAGAATTGTATTATTTCAGAGCTGGAAGAACCCTTATAGGTAATTTTGTGGTATAGGGGAAAAAACACTGCTTAGAAACTGGGATAAGGATTCCAGTCCCAGATTTGCAGCAAACTAGCCATGTGTCTCTGGGTATCTGCCCTACTTACTCCATTAAGTTGTTATTCCTTTGGCAGGATGAATCAAGGCTCCCATGGGGAAGCATGAGGGGAATAGGTGGTTATTATTTTGACCAACTGTTAGTTTTGTTTGGTTTAATGTTTTTAGATCTGCTCTTTTTTTTTTTTTAATAGTGAGGGCAGATTGTGAGTGAGAGGTGAGTAGGTAAGTCTGGAGAAGCCAAGCGGTTTAAGAAAGAAAGATAGTGTGTTTGTGGGAGCCATGTGATATAACCACTTCCCTTGGTCTCCTCAAGAAACTTTAATGAAACTACATACCCTACAATAATTTTGGAAATTGATTTGTTTACTTTTAGATGTCAAGATACGTAAAGTTGGCTTCCAGGATAGTTTCCAGTAAATTCAGGACTGTTCCTGGGAAATGCTATAGTAAGTTGATAACTGGAATGGCAAATTAAATAGTATATATGAGAACACCTTAAAATAGTATGTGGCAATGAGCTGTATATTATATTGTTATTCTTTGCTTCAACACTTTGACTTTGCAGATGAAAAATCTGAAGCCCAGAAAGTTCATGTGATTTGGATAATGGTATTTAACTTATTTTATGGAGATTTTATGAAGGCTAAATGATATGTAAACAACTTAGGCCCTGGTAGGTAATACACATTCAGCAAATGTTACCAATTGTTATTATTGTTGTAATTCTGCTTCTGCTGTTGATGCTGCTGGTAGTGGTTGAAGACCTATGTGAGAATGCTGTATCTACTACACCTTCCTTTTCCCATTACCATATAATTTTCACTTTAAGAGCAGTTGTTGACCTCATTGTATCACAAGTTCTGAAAAGGTAGATTTGATAGAATGCAGTATGGAAAAATAGGTCTGAAGCAAGATTATGCAATTTTTAAAAAGAAGAAAGAAACACTTTTATTTAAAGAAAGTCATTGTCTCAACAACAGTGAGAATGGTCACTTAGAATTTGCAAATGAGATATTCATTTGAATATCCATCAAACTCTGTTACTGTTACTGTCCAAACTATTCCAGGCCCTAAATTAGGCATTCAGTTAGAAATTGGTCAGTGTTTGTTCATGGTAATTCATTCTTCATTTGGAAAATCTTTATTTGTTATTTTTTATGTGACAGGCACAGTGCTAGCTAACATTAATTGAGTACTTCTTTTGTTTAGAACAATGTTGTAAGATAATGGAGAAGGAAGCCTCCCAGAAGAGAAGACACAGGGTTGTTTACAAAGCATACATATGAAAGACCATGCAAACAACAATAAAGTATCCTCTTAATAAGAGAAAAATGAGAGATATTGGAATTAAACAGAGTTGAGGACTATTTAGAATTGTCTATAGTTAATCCCCACAGTCTTCCAGTCTGATTAATAGAATCATGCACTACAGACTTTTTTGTGTCTGGCTTGTTGTTGTTGTTCGACAGAAGATATTTGAGATTCATCCATGCTGGTGAGCGTAGCAATAGCTTTTTTCGTTGTTGTACAGTATTTCATTATCTAAACATTCCACCATCTATTTATTCTTTCAATTAGATGGATCTTAGATGTTGATGGACATGTAGGCTGTTTTTAGATTTGTCCTATTATGAACTGAGTAATTACAGACATTGTTGCTCATGTCTTTTAGTCGATAGATACACATGTCTCTGGGCACATACCTGAGTGGTATTGTTGGGTCATAGGATAAGCATATTTTAGCTCTTGTAAATACTTCCAAATAGTTTTCCAAAAAGGCTGTACTAATTTATATTCCTACTAAAGTACTGTATGGAAGATCCACTTACTTAATATCTCTGTGGACACTTGGTATTGTCAACATTTTTACCTTTAGACATTCTGGTGAGCGTGTAGTGGCAAACCAGATCTTGAGACAGACACTCAGTTTCATTGCACAGCACAGCCTGACACTACCTTTCTATTCTCACTCATTTTATCCACAGGAAAATTTCTCTTGGTACTAGGCCTGGTTGAAGAGTAGGGGGTTGGTGGTGGCAGGGCAGAACTAGATCCTTCAGTCTGGTTTGGCTGCAACCCCTGAGCTGGATTCTAGCTCCTCTATTTTAATCTCCATTGTGTAAATTTGGCAATTCACTGGGACAATATGGAGCTCTGTTTTCTTGCTTATCAGATGAAAAGCTTGGAATAGCCAGTCACCCAGGCTGGAGTGCAGTGGCATGGTCTCGGCTCCCTGCAACCTCTGCCTCCTGGGTTCAAGCGATTCTCCTGCCTCAGCCTCTCGGGTAGCTGGGATTATAGGCATGCACCACCAAGCCTGGCTATTTTTTGTATTTTTAGTAGAAAGGGGGTTTCACCATGTTGTCCCAGCTGGTCTTGAACTCCTGACATCAGGTGATCCACCTACCTCGGTCTCCCAAAGTGCTGGGATTACAGGCATGAGCCACCGCACCTGGCCACATTTTCCTTATTTTTGATTCAACTCTGTCCTTTTTAAGTTATATAAATTGCCCTTAAAACTTACTCTTTTCTTCCCTGTTTTTGATCCAAGTGTCTTACCTTTTCTCAACTATGTCAGGCACTTTCTCCACAATGTTACTGAGCTCTTTTCTCATTGGTGACTGGTGTCTATACCGGTAACTCTAAAGCTCTCTTTTAAGTACTGCTTCTATATGACATCCCTGCAACATTGGCACCATTCCATCTTTTAGAGTCCACAAAAAGGTTGCTTTTCCTCCTTCTTTCCCTCCCGCTCTTCTTTCTTTTTGTTTTGTGCTAGTTTGTTATCAACGTAGTGTCTCCCTAGTCCCTTTCCAAACTCTCTTTTGCATCTCACAGTAGAGGCAGTAAAATTAAATCTTCTAGATTTTCTCTTTCTGCAGAGTTCTGAGTTAGATTCTGCCAAAGAGAAGCATGGCACAAGATTTGGAAGGTAGAAGAAAGGTGAAGCCATTTTTCTCTGTTGGCAGCTGTAGGCAGACATGTGAGCAGCCAGCAGACGTGAAATTTACAGCAGCCTCTAGGAGAGCTTCTGCAAATCACCCGCTTTGGTGCTGCAGTCAAGGGAGATTATCAACAGGCGCTTCCTATGATTCCTATTCATCCAAATTTCCTGTAGGCCAGCTGTGGTTTTTCTTTCACCTTTGTACCCTAGCTGTTCAAATGGTTGTGTGAGTCCCTAATTATTAACATTGTACTGTATCTTGAAATAAAACATTTCTGAATTCATCAGATTAGGCTACTCTTACAATGAATCTCAGTGGCTTAACATAGTAAGTTCATTTTTTGACCATGCCTTACTCTAAGGAGGGGGGTGGTGGTAAGAGTAGGGATGGAGATGAAGAACTGAAGCTGTTGGAGTCCCTGCCATATGCAATATGGCTTCAGGTAGCCTTGGGGATTAGGATCCAGTTAAGAGTCAAGCAAAATGATTTCATGCTCAGGCCTAGGTTGGCACACACCATTTCCTTCCATATTCCACTAGCTAATTACAAGAGCCAGCCTAATGGCAAAAGGGGCTCCTTTTACCACAGTTCCTTTTGCTCTGTCCAAGCTTTAGATGTAGGTGTTCTTCGTAGCTCTGATATCAGTTCTCTTATGTTTTCATTCTGCCCATTCACCTCAAAGAATTCTTGCAGATTCTCATTACCCCAACTCCTGTCTCTGCTTCTGGTTTCCCCTCCACCTGCAATGGCCTTTCATCTATTGTCTTTCTGTTGAATGCCCTTTGTGTTAGTCCATTTTGCACTGCTGTAAAGGAATACTGGAAGCTGGGTAATTTATAAAGAAAATAAGTTTGTTTGGCTTATGGTTCTGCAGGCTGTACAAGAAGTGTGGCACCAGCATCTGCTTCTGGTGAGGGCTTCGGGAAGCTTTCAATCATAGCAGAAGGTGAATGGGGAGCTGATGTGTCATGTGATGAGAGAGGGAGCAAGAGAGAGAGAGGGAAGGGATTCCAGGCTCTTTTTAATAATCTCCATGGTTTAGTAATATCCATGGGTAGCATTTAATACATATTTGCAGAATGAATAGATTAACATTACTTAATGCTTTAAATAAAGAATTTGTGTCCATATTCTAAAATAACCATCCCGTGATTTTTTCTACAGCTTGCAAGATTCCTGTAGGTATATATATTTTTGTGCAGTTGGCTTTCATTACTATGGGTCATTGACAAGATAAACATTCAATGCAGGTCCTCTTGACTCATAGATCTCCTGCCATATTCATGTGCTCTCACTTAGATTTCGTCTTCTCATTTTCTGTTCTCCTCTTTCCTCTTCCACAGGTTCCTCCATCATCTCCCCTCTCCTAATTTATCACCATCTTTATTGAGTCTGCAAGGTTGTGACAGCAGCAAGAGAGAAAGGAAGAGGGGGAAATTCATGGAGGAACACGTATATTTCCTCCATGCATTGCAATTCTTGAGCCCTCCTCTCTACCCCAGTCTGTGATTTTTAGCAGATTTTTACAAGCATTGGGTCAATTTGAACAAGATATCACCAAGAAATATAATTGTAGACACAAACAGTGTCTAATTTGTCTAAGGGCTATTACCTTTTCTCTGAATTAATGCTAAATCAATACCCTAGTAAGTTGTCAGGGGCATTGCATTGAAGTGATGTCTTTATAAACAAATAAACTAACATTTTATCCAGTTTCACTGACTACTCTGCTTGGCAATAGGAGAGGGGGCATACAAAGAGATAAGGACAAGTTGTTGTTTGCAATAATTTATAATCTACATACGAATTTAAAGCGTTGATAATTTACGCTTATGAAAAAATTCATAGAACTTTGTTTACAAAATTCTAACATTCTGGTTTGGGTCAATTCAAGATCAAATGTTTTCTCTTCATCTTCATTACTTCTCTGGCTATAATTGCATCTCATCATTAGATGTTTTTTGTTCCTATGCTTATATTTACACATCTATTCATTCATTCTACAAATATTTAATAGGCACCTACTATTTGTGGGTCATTATAGCTTTTAGACACACAGCAAAAGACAAAGTACTTGCCCTCAAAAACCCCGTGTTTCAGTAAGAGAGAGGCAGTAGACAAACAAGCGTAATATAAGCAATAAGTGCTGCCAAGAAAAAATAAAGTGGGTTAAGGTGATAAAAGGCCAGGGAGATTCTTTCTGAGGAGGTGACATTTAAGTAGACATGATTGAAGTAGAAATGAGTCATGAAGGAACCCAACAAATAGTAGTCTAGGCAGATGGAGAGGGAAGTACAAAGGACTTGGGCAGGAATGAACTTAATGGACCAGATAGAAGGCCTGTATGGTGAGAGCTGAGTTACATTCACTAACTTACATGTAGTAAGTTAGTAAATGTAGGTGCATAACTTTTTAGTTCATCTAATATATTCACACCCATTATATTATTTGCACTTCACAAGATAGTTATTATTGCATCCATTTTACAGATGAGGAAACTGAAGCTCAAAGCTTAACCAATGACTTTTCCAAAGAGATGGAACTTGGCTTTGAATCCTAATCTCCAGACTCCACATCAAGTACTCTTCCCTTACTTCAGAAAATGCTATTTTAAATGCTTTTATGGCTCTGGGCTACCTTTAGAATACTAGAAATCCTGTAGGATCACTTGCATGGGAAAGAGGGCAGAGAAGGATCAGTAGCCATGATGATCTCTCATGCCTGAATCATAGATAAGATTTGGGGATTGAGTGTAGGTCTCTGCCTCCTTACCTTATCCCTGGGCAGTGGGATAATCTCTAGGACAGTATCCTGTCAGAGGAAGAAGCTTCCAAAGGACTAGAACAGATCGTCCAAGTAGTGTTAGGGAGCAGGTCTTCAACACTTGCATTGGCACTCTTTGTGCATCCAGCCTGGAAAGGAAGCTCAGTGAAAACATATTAATTGGGATGCAGACAGACCCTGATGCCCACATGTTGCTCAGAGGACTTTAGAGCAAAGTGAGTTCTTAGAATAAAAAAATTTACTCCCTCCCCACTTCTTTGTTAATTAATAAAGCCAAAAATGTAGGTGATAAGGTATAGATAGAAGCAGACCTGGCATGTTATTGGATTCATTTCTTCATGAAGCATTTATTGAGCCCCTAACATCCTTTCATCAAGGAAGGTTGGATCTAGAGGAAAACCAAACATATTAACAAATAATTATCACATAGTAAAACTGTCATGGAGGAGGCATCGACTACAGAAGAAAAACAAAGAAGAAATTTACCACCCACCCGCCTCTTCTGTGGTGTCTTGTTGAGAGAGTCTTCCACCCTTATTTCTGGTGAAGAAAGTACTAATTTGATGGAAAATTCCTCTCTTGGCCTTTCTTAGGTGACCTACTAGAAGCTGAATAATTTATGGGAGTCTTTTGGACAGACATTGATATGTCATAAAAATGGCAAAAGCAAATTCATGGAATAGGGACTTACTGTGATAAAACACAGAAATGAGATATAGGTGGACAGTTTCCACTTTGGGTAATATTTAGGTACAAAATAGACACGTATCTGCGCGGAGTGGTTGGGAAGCTGAGGGCTGGGCAGATATTTTTGAGATGCTTATTTTAGCTGTATGAGTTGTATTGTTGTCTATGGTAAGTGGTTACCTCAGAGACACTGTACAGATTGTATTTCCTAAAGTCACACAGTTGAGAATGTATTAAGCTTGAGCAAAACTTGATGCTTATTAAATAAACATTCTCTTCAATTTTGCATGATTCTTTCAAAACAACTTTCCCTACCATGGGATTCACATACCAAACACCTCAGAGAGTGGAAATTCCAGCACTGTTGCTCTTTGTGGTCTAAATGCAGATGCACATGCTGAAGCTCCTTGAAAGCTTGTCTTCCTGCTGTGTATCCTCTCAGCTTCTCTCATATTTCACCTCTCTTTCCTCGTCCAGCTTGACCCTCCATGGGGGCCATCTGTGTGACTCCCTGGAATCTCCTGTGTTAAGATGTAGGTTCTCTGTTAACTGCCTTTGGACCTTGTCTAGAACTTCTAAGCCAGGAGCTGCTCCCACAGTGAGAGGCAGACAGTCCAGACAAGTTGTTTTCACCCCTAACAGGTCAGACAGTTTCAAATCTTGCCATAACACCAAATTCACTCATGGAAACCTATAGAACAAAGAGAAATGAGTAAGGTAACTTTTATTATAAGACTGTCTGGAGTCTGTGGAAGTAGAATGAAGACTACAGTGGAACAGAGATCTCACAGTAACTGGGCGGGCTTTCCTGACTGTGTCCTAACAACTGGCCACTATTTTGAGGTGAAAAATGGTCTCAAGCGGAGACACGTCTCAGGTGACTATGTATATAGTTGATTCCCATTATTTGAGAAATTGGTATTTGTAAGTTTTCCTACTTGTTAAAATTTATTTATAATCGCAAGATCAACACTGTTAGCGTTTTCATGGCCATTCAAGGACATGTGCAGAGCAGGAAGAATTTGAGTCATCTGAAGCACATGTTCCCAGCTGAAGTCAAGGAAGGCAATGCTCTGTCTTCTTGTTTTAGCTTTTATATTGTAAACAAGAGTCCTTTTCTCAGTGTATTGAGTGCCATTTTTTCATGTTTGTGCTTACTTGTTGGTGATTTCAGTGTTTAAAATGGTCCCCAAGTGTAGTGCTGAAGTGTTGTCTATTGTTCCTCAGTGGAAGAAAACTGTAATGTGCCTTACAGAAAAAATACATGTGTTAAATAAACTTCCTTCAGGCACGAGTCGTTGTGCCGGTGGTTGAGTTCAATGTTAATGAGTCAACACTATATATTAAATAAGATGTATTTAAACAGAGACACACATAAAACAAGGTTCACAAAAGTGTGACTAGAGGCTTGCAGGAACCTAACACTGTACTTCCCCTAGGAGCAATGGTTTAGTATTTGCTTATTCAGCATTTGTGGTGACTTTATAGAAAACTACTAGAATGAATAATGAGAACTGAGGTTTTTTTTTTTTTTTTCCCAACTAAAAGCAGTCATTTGTAAATCTATTTATATCACATTAAGCACAGTCTGGAAAGAAAATGGTAGTATTTATATAATCTCTAATGAATACAATAAACAAATATAATTCTTTATAAGACAAAATAATTGTTTACAACTAATTAAAACCTACTTACCTTCATCAAGATTTAATTTTTGTGTGTGCAAAAAATATTAAATTTCAAGGCAAAGAAACAAAGAAAGGCCACCTCTTAATCCTCCCCTGCATTTGTGGAGAACAAGGCTATTCCACTTACCATAGAGCTTTGTGAAACATTCATAATTCATAGAAGGGGCCATCTGAAAACATTTCCCAGGATTGTCACAAAATTCTGCCAGCTCCTGCAGTGATGAAAACGCACAGTCTTGTGACTATGATTAAGGTGCATTGGAATCTAAGAAAACCATCAATAGCCACTTCGCTGTCTTCACGCTCTTGGAATGTAGTCTCTGGACGAAAGTCGGTTCTGACAGATGATTTCATGGTATTTTACTCAGTATGGGATGTATTTTAGAAGCAGTGTATCAAAACCTTGACCTTTATTTCATTTTTTTCTTTATTGTTGATTTAGAAGATTAAAGGCATTCCAAAATCTTTTTCTAAATGTCTTCTCATATATGCAACAAAAAGGATTCAGAAAGGATTTGACACACGATGTAGAAGCGTAAATCAGCCAAGGGGAGGATATTTGCAAATTGCTCTCCTCGTTATAATTTCATCTCATTAGGGAAGAAGGGACAGGTGGGTGTGCTAGCAGTTACAGATCAGGAATTGCACTTTCTTTCTAGATTGGTGAGGATCGTATGGTATGAAACCCCCTTCTGAGAAAACTATGCAGGTTTTTATTACACATAAAAATCCTCCTCTGGTGGATTTTTGCAGTTTACAGAAAATGTGTAAACCGAAATTAGAAACTGCTTAGCTTTTACATTTTACTGACTTCTTGGGTTTAGTGTAAAAAAAGAAAGGGAAGGGATTCATGGTACAATTTTTATCTCCATGATGAATTAAGATGAACATATAGTCTAAAGTAAATTTGTAAAATATGTGTATTTAGTCATTTAGAATATTTGATAGACCAAGGATGAAGGCATGTGGTCTAGGAGCTGCAAGACCTAATGAGTAATATTTGTGGTCACATTTGTATAACTCTATTGCTGACGAAGCCTGCTTTCTAAATACAGATATCTTGTGTTCAACTCTGAGGTTTTCTGACAATGAAGAGGGTAAATATAATAATTTCAGAATATGCAATAATATGACAATGAGTATTTGCAGTCATTTAATATATTGTTTCATCATTTTAATAGCCCTGTGGAGATATCAGTAAACAGTTATTTACTCAGTGCCTTCTTTAAACAATTTTATTTTATTTTTTATTGTGCCAAAACATACATAACATTTTAACCATTTTAAAGTGTACATTTCTGTGACATTAAGTACACTCAAAATGTTGTACAACCTTCACCATTATCCAGTTCTAGAACTGTTTCATCTTTCCAAACGGAAACTCAGAACCCATTAAACAGTAGCTCCCCATTTCCCTCTCCTCCAAGACCCTGGTAACCTCTATGCTACTTTCTGTCTCTATGACTTTGCCCACTCTGGATACCTCATATTAGTGGAATCATACTATATTTATCCCTTTGTAACTGGTTTCTTTCACTTGGCATCATGTTTCCAAGGTATATCCGTGTTGTAGCGTGTATCAGAACTTCATTCCTTGTTAAAGCTGAATGAACAATTAATTTTTCCAGGACCCACTAGTGTTTCAGACACTATTCCAGACCTGAATTTTTTACTGGGAAATCTGTTTATGTTTTCACCATGGTGTCCACACTCTGGGAACATGATCACTTTATCCTGACTCCCGGCTGCTAGACAGGACAATGTCTTTCCCTTTCTTAGGTCTAAATTCAAGTGACTGCTCTTTGAATAAGACTATAAATATGTAATTATTAATAATCTATACTAATCACTATGAAGTAGCGTACCCAAAAATGTTGTGAAATACAATCATAGTGATGTCTTTAAACCAGTGCTTCCAAGGGGCATGTTTAATGGCATGCCAGAGGAAGTGCCACTGTACTGCATGCAGGAGACAGCTATTTTTAATTTACACCATCAGGTAGTGACTTTTGTCTACTAAGTGTGATAAATCAAACTTCTCTCTCTTTCTAGGATGAGACAGAGAGCAGCAAAGCAAACCAAAAAGATTATTCCCATGATTAACAAAGCAGCCAAGCAATATTTCTCCAAGTATATTGGAAGGAGGAATCTCTGTGGAATCCAAATAATAAAGATGACATATTTGAACAAATTTATAAGCAGACTTTAAAGCCTGAGATCAGATACAAGGATGCAACCATCCTTGTACAAAGCATCATGGAAAACACAAGAGTAGAAGCCTAGCTGGGACTATGTAAGGACAAAAAATGTTCCAGCAGGCCAAGAAGAGGATTCTCTTGACCTTAATGGCAAAGTTTTCATATAAGTTCCTAGAATGTAGAAACTAGAATTTGATTGCAGAGCACTATAATAATATTTGAAGTCTGTTGTATTATTCCAGGCTTTATTAACAATAGAGCAAGTGTATTTTAATTACGTACTATTGGCCCAGTAACTCTCCATGCATGTTTGTTGTATTCAGAAAGTCACAATTAATTCCTCTAGGTCAGTGGCTCTCAAACTTTAGTACATATTAGAATCTCTTGGAGGGCTTGTTAAAACATAGATTTCTGGGATCCATCGCCAGAATTTCTGGCTCATTGTGTGGAGTGGAGCCTGAGATTGGCATTTCTGAACAGTTCCCAGGTGATGCCAATGCTGCCTGCCTAGGGGCCATATTTTAAGAACTGTTAGGTATATTTAGGTATATGTAGATACCTGGATTGGATGAGTTGAACTTCAGTTAAGACTGTGATAAGCAGACTACATTTCAAATCTTCTGATCTTTTCTATCTGTGTTGTTACTTATCATTGCTATCCAATCCTCCATCAATTTCACCTGAAGTACAACAGTCTCCACACTGGTCTCCAACATCCTTTCTTGCCTTCCTCCAATTTATCCTTTACAATGCAGCCAGGATTATCTTCTTAAAGCCTTAATCAGATCATTTTACTCTCTTGCTTAAAGCTCTTTGAACACTTTTAGTAGCACATACTCCATAACACTCAGTCTTTGACCCATGGCTCTCCAGGGCTTGTGTGATTTGGTCCCTGCCCATCTTTCTATCTTCATCTCCATCTTCTGCCTTCTTCCCTCTGATTCACTAAGCTTTCATCACACTGACATGCTTTCAACACACCAACATTTTCTCCCTTGGGACTTTTGACTCCCCCCACCCCCGCCCAACCCCGGCTGGCATGCCCTTTGCTGCCGTAACCTCTCTTCATCTACTCTATGTCTGGCTAGATCTTCCTTTTCTTTCAGATGTCAGCTTAAATATTATCTTCGCAAAAACATCTTTTTTTGACCATACACACTTAAAGTATGTGCCTCCTTTTATCCTGTTTCTTATTAGACTTTATTATATTCTTTTATAGCCTTTACTGCAGTTGTTTGTTTTCTCATTAGGCTCTAACTTGCTTGAGAATGGGACCATGTCAACACAGTGCCTGAGAGACACTAAGTATTTGATTTGTTGAATCACTGAAGACGTAAGAGCAGACAAGCTGTTACTGAGTAATATTTATTCCCTGGGTTCAACTAGATTAAGGAACCTGTCACTTGGGATGTTGAAACTTCAATTAATGCTACTTGATGACTTTGCTCTGAGTTCTACCCATCCTTCCATCCCTGACTCGTGAGGTTTTTGGTGGCCAGCTTCAGCATTATTAGTATGAAATCACAAGGCTTCACACAATTGCTTCACTTCTACCTTGTGCTATTCCAAAGAGCCTCCTGAGAGGGCTTCCATAAGAGCTGAGAAAATTGAGATGCTTTGATTAAATCAGAGTGTGTCCAGAACTAGAGAAAAAATGATCCTTTGGCAGTTTAGACTACATCAAAGACCACATTAGGATATTGTATTTAGTTCGGTATAAAGAAAAGTTGGAGCCTATTCAATAGAAGGAAACCAGTACAGTCCAGAATTTGCAAAGTCTGTCACAGAAAGAGCAGTGAATAACTGGGAGAAACCTGTGAAGGAAGAAGCTGTCATCTTGGAAAAGAATGAAGCTTGTACTAGCTTGTCCTAGAGGGAATGGCATATATTAGACAGAAGTTACAGGGAAGTGGATTTTGAGTCAACATAAGAAGACGTTTTTCAATAAGTAGAGTTGTTGATAAATAGAATGAATTTACCTTGTGAGTGAAATTCTCTCATAACTGGAAGTGTTCAGACAGAAACCATGAAAAAGCTGAGAGGAGGAAGGGAATTAACATTTACTGCAAACCAGTTACTTTACCTATATAATTATATGGAGGAAATCTTATTTTCCTGGCAGCAGACTTTTCCAAATCTGTACCATCTTCCTAGGAGAGGGGATATTTTGAGATGCCTCTTGGATTGGGTGTGGTGGGTGAGATGCTCACAGAACATGTTCGAGGCACAGTAGATGATCATGGCTCAGTTGACTAACAAGCTTTTATTTTGTTGAATTTTATTTGTAAACTGAAGAGGTAACTCGATATTTCAAAATAATCAAAGAAGGATGAGGAAAATGTTTAGGGAGATTAATTTAGGGAAGAAAACAATGTGAGATTAGGTAGCTGCCAAAGGAGAGAAATTCTGAGGGAACAACAGAGATACTTTATGGGAATTTGATGATGTTTCTGCTGTGGGTCTACAGTATAATCATTTTCTCCCCATCTCCCCATATAATTTCTGCAAAATGTCTATTTCTTTATTAATGAACTGTGGCTTTGGCTACATTTTGTAGAAACCAATAAATACTAAATTTAACCCTAAAATTGGTTCGGAGCAACCATGGTGGACCCTGGAAAAACACATCTGTGTCACACATCTCAATTCTCATAGCCATCGGATGCAGCGGACAATTCTGTCTTCATATACACATGAAGAAAATGAGGTCCAGGGAAATCGAAATCAGTAGGTTATTCATCTTATTTTTACTGTAACGGAGGCAACTTCAAAGAAATTCATTCCTTGGATACAAGTGCTCTGAAATGGCTTCCAGGATGTGAGAATGGACACATATTGGTGTGTATTGAATCAAATCTTCCAGATTATTTTACAAATCTGCCAGATTATCTTCAATATCTTTTATTTCTTAAAATTTCATGGAGCAGAAAAGAGTGTCCAAGAGTGATCTCTCTGATAAAACATAAACAAACAGTTGTAGTAGTGACGCAAATAGAGATTATGAGGTAGGGACTTCCTAGGACTGGGTGCTATAGACAGGGCTGGCTTTGTGTGTGGGTCCAGCTCAGTCATAAAAAACCCATGCTTATAAGGATCCTACACTTGATTTAGTGCTTTGCTGTTGCTATATTGAAATTCTTAATAATTTTAAATTTTTAATACTTTTTGAATAAGGAGTCTTGCATTTTTATTTGCACTGAGGCCACAAATTATATAGCTGATCCTGACTACAGTCAAAGGAGTTTTATACTTGGTACTGGCACATTAACCAAAG